CATTTATAGCAGCCAAATACTCTAAAACGCGCGATGTTGATTCTTAATGTGGAGGGAAAAAAAACCAGAGGACCCGGAGAAAAATCCACGCAACAACGGGGAGAGATAGGGAACATGATAACTACAAATATACAGCAGAATGAACCCACGACCTCCTGTATACCAGGCGAGGTAGTTAATATCTCCTGGCCACCGTGGTGCCCCCAGGTGTATATGGGGGAGTAGAAAAGGGTATAAGGGGAAAGATAAATAAATAATGTCCTGGGAGAAAGAAAGGGACGGGGGTCAGGGGAAGGGGGGAACGGCAGGGGGGCAGGTGGGGGAAAAGGGAGGGCAAAAGAGTGGAAGACGTGTCATAAACACCGCAAATGAAATAATTTACACGCGACATGCGAACTTGTGAACTAACGTCCCCACACGGCAGTACTCCGCTCCCGCCCGTTCCCAGAAAGGGGGCCGCAACCCCCCCCCGCCCCCCACAAACAGCAGTCCCCCCCCCTGCACCCAACCTCCCCGCCAGCGGAACTTCATTTTAAACCCCCGTGTGGCCTCAAAACTCCTGTTCTCTGTCTTTAAGCTTGTGGCTTAAATTCTCCGATTACTGCAAGGGCTAGGGGAGGGTGGTATGCCCATGTTTCCACGAAAAGGGGGTTTCGTGACCGTTGTATTCCTTTGTGAGTGCACATTGCCAATTGTCAGAAGGGCGACGGGTAGCCGAGTGCAGTAGAGTAGTTTACAGGCAGCAGACACTGGCTCGTTTTAAAAAAAATTAAACATCATAAGCCACTTCGTTAAGCTATCATTTGTGGCCAGGTCACTTCTGAAAAAGAGTTGCATAGCTCAGTGGGCCTTACCTTGTAAAATATAAACAAGTCTATCGTCTTATAGTTTCTGATTTGTCTACCTTCACCTGTCGGCCCAGCCCCGGATTGCACGGTGGTTAGAGTATGCGGCTCGCAATCAGAAGTTCAAATCCTTGTTGGGGGTAAATTCAGCTCTTCACCCCCACCGCATTCCCCTGGATGGTGAGAAACCTACGGAAGGTAAGACGCACATTAAACGTGTTCCAGGTGTCAATAAATGAATACAAATCTGGTTACATACACACGCACACACTTAGCGGAACATAAGATGCCCCCGCTCCCAACTTTTGATTTAAAATACAGGAGGAATAAAGAGTGTGTCTTATGATCCATAGAATATGGTGCCACTTTTTGTTACGGTAGCAACATCAATGCTTGTCCTCTGGAAAGGTTTGCCCTCGCCATACCAATGTGGAATTTCGAATGAATGTTCAGGTCTGTAAATAAATAGATTGGAAAATGCCTCACACTCAACTGAGTGGGGAAACCACCGCTATCCCATTAATGCAGTGTGGATCTGAGTTACATTGGCTCGATGTGGGTAGATGCAGACCTGAGTCAAGAGGAGTCGGACTTTATACTCATTCCCTCCGTACACTACACTCAATGGCATTTCACCATCAACCCGTAAACATCAGACTAGGGTTTTTTTCTTCCAGTGACTACAACCTTCCCTCTGTACCGGATAATTATTGCTATAGTCTTATATAAAATTCATCTGAATTTGGAATATTGCCGTCATATCTGAGGTGAAGCACCCATGCCCTACCTCGCGGCGGCTCGATATAATTCAATGTAAAGCAGTCAGACTGATTGACGATCCAGTACTCAACGATTCACTCTCACCGGTGGTCAGTCACCTCCGGTCACTCTTTCCACAAACTTCACTGATTGATTCCTCCACTCAATTTGCGGACTTTGTCACCAGGCACCGACTGGTTTGTCTCGACCACACTGTGTTCAGACAGCACACTGCAGGTCACAACACCACACAAAGACAAAGATACCCCTATAGCCTTAACATACTGTAGAGGGAAGTGCTGTTAGCGAGCACCTATGAAGGCCGGAACGGTACACGAGGGGGTGGGTGGCCAGCACCACGCCCGACCGCCTTTGTCTCCCCAATGGCGATGTTTACACACCGCACCAGGTACTCATTTCAGGCTGAGTCGACCTGGGGGAGGCCCAGGACCGGTTCAGATAATCGTCACTGGGTGTTGACCGTGAATCGAACCCGGGTCCCCGGGTTCATAGCGCAGCACGCTAACCGCTACACTACCGCTCCCCACTACAACACCGCACACACTCACCCACCCACCCACTCACCACACTGCAGATCACTACAATTCTCTTTCCACTTCTTCCCCCGCACTGCTGAACTTTGGAATTCTCCCCCGACGTCACTTTTCCCCCCATTCGAGAAACGCATTCGCTCGTACGTGTTACGACTTTAGCAGTGCTGCTCGTTTGCTGGCCCCAATGGCGTTTTGGGCCTGCGCTCAGCAACTGTTGAAAAACATCAACCCACGCACACACTTGGAGGTGAGGACATCCATTGTCCCCATGACGTTACTGAGTCCCACACACGCCCGTTCCAGACGAGCTAACTGCAATTTTAAGCGGTTATAATCGCCCTCTTTTTTTAATAATTTGCACGCTAATTAATGGGGATTATGATGTCCGTATGAACGCCAGAGACGCCGTGCTGGCTCCGTCGGCCTCCATCCACATCTCCCACTTTGCGCCTTTGGATGATGAATATAATTACAGGGCAATACGACACCCACCCTGTGACACAATGCCCGGGTCTTCAATCAGCCGCCTTTTGCCTCAATTCGAGCGTTGAGTAGACGTGCGGCAAGCAGGCTTCGAAATGTCCAAATCCCACACGCCCCCCCCCCCCCCCAAATGAGAGTAATTTGGGAATTCCGAAATCCCGTCAAGATGAAAGCGTTCCGGTTCGATAAGAATTGGGGTGACCATTTATGGCCTTGTCCTGTGGACAATATCTTGGAGCCTTTGTGAAGTGCGCAAGAACAAGCGTGTTGATGTACAGTGAGGGGAAAAAAGTATTTGATCCCTTGCTGATTTTGTACGTTTGGCCACTGACAGTGAAAGGATCAGTCTATAATTTTAATGGTAGGTTTATTTGAACAGTGAAAGACAGAATAACAACAACAAAAAATCCAGAAAAACTCATGTCAAAAATGTTATAAATTGATTTGCATTTTAATGAGGAAAATAAGTATTTGACCCCCCTCTCAATCAGAAAGATTTCTGGCTCCCAGGTGTCTTTTATACAGGTAACGAGCTGAGATTACGAGCACACTCTAAGGGAGTACTCCTAATCTCAGCTTGTTACCTGTATAAAAGACACCTGTCCACAGAAGCAATCAATCAATCAGATTCCAAACTCTCCGCCATGGCCAAGACCAAAGAGCCCTCCAAGGATGTCAGGGACAAGATTGTAGACCTACACAAGGCTGGAATGGGCTACAAGACCATTGCCAAACAGCTTGGTGAGAAGGTGACAACAGTTGGTCCGATTATTCGCAAATGGAAGAAATACAAAAGAACTGTCAATCCCTCTCGGCCTGGGGCTCCATGCAAGATCTCACCTCGTGGAGTTGCAATGATCATAAGAATGGTGAGAAATCAGCCCAGAACTACACGGGAGGATCTTGTCAATGATCTCAAGGCAGCTGGGACCATAGTCACCAAGAAAACAATTGGTAACACACTACGCCGTGAAGGACTGAAATCCTGCAGCGCCCGCAAGGTCCCCCTGCTCAAGAAAGCACATATACATGCCCGTCTGAAGTTTGCCAATGAACATCTGAATGATTCAGAGGACAACTGGGTGAAAGTGTTGTAGTCAGATGAGACCAAATTCGAGCTCTTTGGCATCAACTCAACTCGCCGTGTTTGGAGGAGGAGGAATGCTGCCTATGACCCCAAGAACACCATCCCCACCGTCAAACATGGAGGTGGAAGCATTATGCTTTGGGGGTGTATTTCTGCTAAGGGGACAGGACAACTTCACCGCATCAAAGGGACGATGGACGGGGCCATGTACCGTCAAATCTTGGGTGAGAACCTCCTTCCCGCAGCCAGGGCATTGAAATTGGGTCGTGGATGGGTATTCCAGCATGACAATGACCCAAAACACACGGCCAAGGCAACAAAGAAGTGGCTCAAGTAGAAGCACATTAAGGTCCTGGAGTGGCCTAGCCAGTCTCCAGACCTTAATCCCATAGAAAATCTGTGGAGGGAGCTGAAGGTTCGAGTTGCCAAACGTCAGCCTCGAAACCTTAATGACTTGGAGAAGATCTGCAAAGAGGAGTGGGACAAAATCCCTCCTGAGATGTGTGCAAACCTGGTGGCCAACTACAAGAAACGCCTGACCTCTGTCATTGCCAACAAGGGTTTTGCCACCAATTACTAAGTCATGTTTTTCAGAGGGGTCAAATACTTATTTCCCTCATTGAAATGCAAATCAATTTATAAAATTTTTGACATGCATTTTTATGGATGTTGTTATTCTGTCTCTCACTGTTCAAATAAACCTACCATTAAAATTATAGACTGGTCATTTCTTTGTCAGTGGGCAAACGTACAAAATCAGCAGGGGATCAAGTACTTTTTTCCCTCACTGTATATAACAATTATCCGTCATTATCGGTTTACCCAAGGATGAACTCTCATAGCCTAACACAGGGTTTCACATGATACTAGTCGTACATGTGATTTACATTAATACACGATGTATTAATATGCACACAAACAACATTTCAACGATTATATCTGCAAACTACAACCTACTGTTGTGATGCATGTTAATTGCCCTTTTATGTCCAATTCAGGGTAGATTTCAAAGCATTCGCGAAATCAGATGGTCGTTCTTTGATATTCCTCTCAAGATACGACTTACACGTGTATAGATCGAGAGCACTGTCCCTGCATGCAGTATTAGAGGTGAAAGAAGCGAAGGGGCCTACGTTAATTGGCTATCGTTAACCCATGGCCTAAAAACGAGGTCTCAGCGGAGCATCAGGGTGTCCGCGGCGAGGTGCATCTCTTTGCCGTGCGTCGTCGCTTCACCTCACGACCCCGGTCCTCCTCCCTTCCCACTGCCAGACACGCGACGCTGCAAGGAGAGCGTGCAGCATGGGGAGGGAACACCCCAGCCAGAGGTCCATCATCTTGAAGATAGGAAACCACTCGCGGTAAGCACGCGTTTTTCTCCTGGCGTCTGCGAATCGGCACAGCAGCTCGTTCAAGTAGCCTCCGATTAGCACGGTTGGCTACATACGGTGCTATGGAAGTTCAACATATGTACGTACATACATAAAAGAAGGCCCGAAGTTATATTGATCACGAGTGCAGTAGAACACCTCTTTTTCATGACCGCATTGTTCGCTGTTCCTATTATCCATAAGCCCCGGGCAAATTTTGTGAACCTTTTAGAGCTTGTTGTCCTGTTTTCTTTCTGCTATGTTCGCTTCTGTTATCTTCCTATTTCTCTCTTTACACATAGGTAAGAGGAGTTCCCGAAAAGTGGCTGCAGATAGGGGGAGTGTGTGGAAAATTAATTGTATTCACATTTTAAAAAATTGGCTGTAAATTGTATTATTTTCATAGATAGTCATGGATAAACTAATTTGGCAATAGCACCCCACAACATCACAGATAATTGGAGTTCTATTCTTTGCTTCTTTACTTGATTTGACAGACACATGCTGCATCCCTTAAAAAGGTAAAAAAAATGTAATTTAAACTAATTAACTTTAATTTAAGTTATGAAAAACGTTCTCATTCGTGAAGCAGTACTATATCTGGCTTATGTTTTTAACATAGCCAATAGGTCATTAATAGTAATGTAAAATTTATAGCAATGATCCCGAATACGTGAACTAGAGAGCAATACGCAGGTTTAAAGACACCATTCAAACAGTTGAGGAACGTTAAGTGGGCTAGGGTAGGACCCGTTGCTGTAAGGCATGATCGCCCACGGTCAAAGCAATAACACAGTGGCATGGCCCACGGGCAAATTAATAACACAGTAACACGGCCCATGTTCAAAGGAATAAAACAGTGACATGGCCGATGATCAAAGTAATAACAGTGGCATGGCCCATGTTCAAAGTAATAACACAGTGACACGGCCCACGGTCAAATAAATATCACGGTGGCAGTGAAGGAATGGAACACATCTGAGAGGACATCCAACACAGACATGGAGTGATGAATTCAGCTCACGTGCAGAGGGTGCCAGGTTGACTAGTACATCGCACGATCACGAGAGGTGGCGGCAGCTTGAGGAGGTCTTCATCCAGCGGTGGATTGACCATTGGCTGACGATGGCAAGAATTACATTAAACTGATGCGTAGGGCTTCTCTTACCCGATGCTGCGCAAATACATTGTCATATTTTGGTCCGTTGGTCAATTAATGAAGGGTCATGGGCCTTTCGTGGGTTTTGTGATAGTTTGAGTCGTTGAGGATTTACTTATTATGTTCAAAGAAGTTGGCCACATAATATCGAGCCATTTCAGGACTTTACTCTCATATTGTAAAGGGCTTTGAGGCCTTGTGTGAGTTTATGATTATTATTGTTAAACACGCGTTTTACACCTATGCAGCTTCACGTTCCTCTAGTGTTTGAATGATGTCATTAACCTGCGTATATATGTTCGATTGGTTTTACCCAATGGGTGGTATTTGCTTGTACTTAGATTTGTTCTTCTCCTCAACGCTCATACATAAGGTATGAGTGATCCTTTTATAAATCACTCGGTGATTTAATTCCCTTAAACATGAAGGGTGTGCATTTTTAAACGCAACAATTACAGCTTATTCATTATTTGTGCGGGGGCGGGGGGGGGATAGTCATTTATAAGAATAACAATAATGATTGAAGACATTCCAAAGCATGATTTAATGGGCCCCAAATTTGCAACTTTTTGCTGCACTTTGCGTCACCTGGCAAAAGTGGCTTTAATGAAGGGATTAGGCCAGCCCAGACATGGCTCGTGTCCTTGATTAAAACACCTGGTATGTGGCACACAGTGAATTGAACTAACCACAAAGCACTGCTCCAAACCCCTGTGACTTAAGCAACCTGTCGTGTTGAGTAAGGGCACGACGGTGGCGAGATGTTAACTACCTCACCTGGTATGCAGGAAGTCGTGGGTTTCGATCGCGACCCTGACACCTGTATATTTGGGGTTTGCTTGTTCTCTCCATGGTCGCGATGATTTTTCTCTGGTGTCCTCCGGTTTTTCCCTCCACATTTAGAATCAACATGCTTGTAGAGAGTATTGGCTGCTATAAATTTCCACACGATAAGCCGCTTCGTTGAGCTATCATTTGTGGCCAGGTCTCTTCTGAAAAAGAGCTACAGTGAGGGAAAAAAGTATTTGATCCCCTGCTGATTTTGTACGTTTGCCCACTGACAAAGAAATGATCAGTCTATCATTTTAATGGTAGGTTTATTTGAACAGTGAGAGACAGAATAACAACAAGAAAATCCAGAAAAACGCATGTCAAAAATGTTATAAATTGATTTGCATTTCAATGAGGGAAATAAGTATTTGACCCCTCTGAAAAACATGACTTAGTAATTGGTGGCAAAACCCTTGTTGGCAATCACAGAGGTCAGGCGTTTCTTGTAGTTGGCCACCAGGTTTGCACACATCTCAGGAGGGATTTTGTCCCACTCCTCTTTGCAGATCTTCTCCAAGTCATTAAGGTATCGAGGCTGACATTTGGCAACTCGAACCTTCAGCTCCCTCCACAGATTTTCTATGGGATTAAGGTCTGGAGACTGGCTAGGCCACTCCAGGACCTTAATGTGCTTCTACTTGAGCCACTCCTTTGTTGCCTTGGCCGTGTGTTTTGGGTCATTGTCATGCTGGAATACCCATCCACGACCCATTTTCAATGCCCTGGCTGAGGGAAGGAGGTTCTCACCCAAGATTTGACGGTATATGGCCCCGTCCATCGACCCTTTGATGCGGTGAAGTTGTCCTGTCCCCTTAGCAGAAAAACACCCCAAAGCATAATGTTTCCATCTCCATGTTTGACGGTGGGGATGGTGTTCTTGGGGTCATAGGCAGCATTCCTCCTCCTCCAAACACGGCGAGTTGAGTTGATACCAAAGAGCTCCATTTTGATCTCATCTGACGGCAAAACACTTTCACCCAGTTGTCCTCTTAATCATTCAGATGTTCATTGGCAAACTTCAGACGGGCATGTATATGTGCTTTCTTGAGCAGGGGGACCTTGCGGGGGCTGCAGGATTTCAGTCCTTCACGGCGTAGTGTGTTACCAATTGTTTTCTTCGTGACTATGATCCCAGCTGCCTTGAGATCATTGACAAGATCCTCCCGTGTAGTTCTGGGCTTATTCCTCACCATTCTCATGATCATTGCAACTCCACGAGGTGAGATCTTGCATGGAGCCCCAGGCCGAGGGAGATTGACAGTTCTTTTGTGTTTCTTCCATTTGCGAATAATCGCACCAATTGTTGTCACCTTCTCACCAAGCTGCTTGGCAATGGTCTTGTAGCCCATTCCAGCCTTGTGTAGGTTTACAATCTTGTCCCTGACATCCTTGGAGGGCTCTTTGGTCTTGGCCATGGCGGAGAGTTTGGAATCTGATTGATTGATTGCTTCTGTGGACAGGTGTCTTTTATACAGGTAACAAGCTGAGATTAGGAGCACTCCCTTTAACAGTGTGCTTTACTTGGTAAAATCAAAATAGTTTGAGTTCAGTTTTTAGAAAGAGCACGTCCCATTTTCACAAGTATCTCTGTATGCGAATGTTGAACTTCTTTCGCCACCGTGCGAAGCCAACCGTGCTAATCGGAGGTGGCCGGGTGACTCAGGAGGCTGGTGCCAGAACTCTGAGCCAGCGTCGCTCAGGTCTTTGGCTCCAATCTGTGTCGATGGCCACAGCCTTGATGGGTGCAGCTTTGTTGCCAACAACTGTCTGAAAATATTCATCGTCCATAATATGCATTATGTTAAACTTGCATCGTATAAAATGTTGGTTTTTCACCAGATCTGCACATTGCAACGGTGGAATTTAATAACGAAACAATTACTTTGAATGATAATGTGTCGAGCACTTTTTGCGGGTCCACATACGAGGTTCGTCTCGCGCGGTAATGATGACGCCTTTGAAGAACTTGAGAAGAAGTGTGGTGAAGTCATCTTCCAGGGTCGTCTGACACAAAGTGAAACACTGATAGCTGTGAGAGCACCAAATGGGAAATTACCTTCTCACTTTTATTGCCTTCTTGGCCAATTTTAATATAATTGGAAAAAGTAAAATGTTTTTTTTGTATTTAGACAACACGAACAAGATCATTAATCACCATCTTCCCCGGTCCATTTTTTACATTTTGCTCTCAGCACACATTGATCTACGATTCTTGTGAAGAGCGAATATGAGTAAATATGAATTTATGTACCTTGTGATACACATGGAATATTATGGCATATGGTGACAAATGCGCATTTTATGTGAATTCACTCTGGTTCAGAAAAAAACAGTTCGAGGCTTAAGGTAAAGTAAAGATGCCGTGTTCTTTGTGAGTGTGTCTTGATTTTGAGTGCAATGGCAAAATGCCTGCTGTATGCTGCTCTCTGTCTAATGAGTTTCTCGTCTTTTGCAGAAAATGTTGAAAAAATTGGTTCAGTGCCGTCGAGATTATTACATTGAGGCCGATTTATTATTTTGTGTGTTGTATGGCTCACTTCTTTTCATGTGCTGATTGAACTTTGCCTTGTGCATGCACTTGTCTGCACGTGTGCACATCAAACATTGTTTTTATCTATCATGGGATATTTTTTTGCAATTATCAAAGGATTAAAAATAAGAATAGGTTGTACCCTTTCTGGCAATAAAACAGGGGTTGAGATGTTCAAACTCCAAAGAGAAAACTTTTGCAAGGAATCAGGTCTTGCATTAGCCACACGTACTTGTGGTCAGGGGCAGAGCCAGGATTTTGACTTTGGGGATGCTGACTTCAATATTCTGAGATATCTCAGTGTGTTTATGTTTTCCAATGGGCGCCACAAATGTATAAAACTAATTTTATTGGATTTGAACGCGGAGTTTATTAATATGTCAGAGCCGCTGATGTGGCTAATAAGTTCGATAAGTTCGCAAGGCTGCCGGTCAAGCAGCTTGCAGGGCAGGACGAGGTGGCAGCCTGCAGGGCAGCACAAGGTGGCAGCCTCCAGGGCAGCACAAGGTGGCAGGACGAGGTGGCAGCCTGCAGGGCAGCACAAGGTGGCAGCCTGCAGCATTTTGCAGCAGCCAGATATCCGGTTATCCCGATTACCGACTTTCCCAAAATTTCAGGGTGGGGGGGGGCTAAGCCCCAGCCCCCCCTGTGGCTCTGCCCCTGCTTGTGGTGAACGTGCAAACAATTACCAGAGCATTTTTGGTTTGCATGTTCTATTGCGAGAAAGGGTAAAATCTATTCTTATTTTTTCATACTATTACATTTACTATATGAAGGAATTTCAGCGGAAAGGATTTATGTGAATTGCATTGAAGACGGAAATCAGAAATGGAGTTACTTTTAGAATGCGTGTTCCTTACGAAAGGTGTGCGCTTATTATGAGCATAACCACCGTTTAGTAACACAGATGCAAGGCTGTGGTGACATTCGATTTAGAAAATTACAAATTGTAATCGGATAGGGGTCAGATGAGGAGTGGCGCAGCGCCTCCGTGCACTGCACTCTGACTGCACGGTCCCGGGTTTGATTCCTGGGCACAGACAACGTCAGGTTAGGACGGCATTATTGACTGTGTTTTCACAACTACTTTGCGAATTTGAAAGACAAGAGCTGGCCGAACGTACTAAAATGAGAAAACTCAGTGTTGTTGTTGCCTGGTGAAAAATATTCGCCCCTAGCGTCCGATTAGTGCTGCCAAGATGCTCGCAGCGATAGATACATTTCGTTTTGAGGCGGGCTGGCCTCACGTGGCCACGGGCCGGAAGCAATGAAGTCGCGGGGAATGGGTTCCTCGACCCCTGTGGCGGACCCTTGACTCTTCCAGAAACGCTAATCGCTGCGATTGGCCGCGCCGGCAGGTCAGGGTGAAGCATCCGGGCGACGCCGGCAACCCGGCGGTGCACCCGCGCTCCCCCGTGGTGCTGCGCTGGGATGACCTCGTGCTCAGGACTGGGTCATCGCGCCGACAGAAGCGCCAGTGGAACATCCCGCTCATCAGCCTCTCCGAGAACTCACTCGGACCCTTCCCGGAGTTCCTCGTCTCTGTGCGTGCGAGGGATTGGGGTGGGGGGAGGAGGGGGGGTGTTCCACGTTCGTTGTCATCGTTATCGGCGGCAGCAGCAGCACCACAATTAGAATCATCATCATCATCAGCAGCAGCAGCATGACAATCGTGATCATAATCATCAGCAGTAGAATCGGCAGCAATCGCGTCATCATGTTTCGCGGTACCATCAGCAGCAACATCATCATCATCTTCATTAATCAAATTCAGCAGCAGCTGCATCGGCAGCAGCATCATCAGCAGCAGTAGCGACAGCAACACCATAGGCGGTTGTCATAGTCAGATGCGGGGCTGTGCTACGTTGCAGGCAGCGGATGCCATGCAGCATGATTCTTGTACTGTACATCTATGCTTCCACGTCTATGATGCTTCACGAGCCTGCACTGACCTCAATTTAGTGTAATAATCCCCACGACGCACAATGCTGGCAATGAGTGGGCCCTTAACCTGCAGTGGATTGACAAAACGGCTGCAATTGTGCATTTTATTCGTGCATACAGAAATATGTTCAGAAGATAAATGCCAATATCGAGGTCTGCTGGTCAGGATAAGAGAGCTCCAGGAGAGAGAGTTCGCGTAGTTTTGCTATTTCTCCTCGATTGAAGGAGCGCAGATTACAGCGGTTAACTACGTGGTCGAAAGTTTGGGTTGCACGGTCACAATGGTCCGTGATGGCTAAAGAGCGATCGAGGGACAGAATCGGAATGAGAATATTTAAACTGGAGTAATCCGATGAGCTATGAAGCTCTTTTTCACACATGTCCAGTAGTGGCACAGGGGTCAGAACGTTACAACAACAAACACGGATGCCGCGTGGATTGCACGCAGATCGAGTCGGACAAGTCCGTGACCTACGACCTGCGCTACAGCATCACGGGGAGTGGAGCGGACCAGGACCCTGTCGGGCTCTTCATCATCGACAGCAACACCGGAGAGCTCAAAGTGACGCGCTCCATCGACAGGGAGGAGCACCAGATGTTCAGGGTGAGTGCGTGAGTGAGTGTGCGACTGATTGGTCAACTCAGCCTCGATTGAGTACTTGGTGCGATGTGTAAATTTCGCCACTGTTGGAGAAAAAGGCGGTTGGGCGTGGTGCTGTCCATCCACCCCCTCGTGTGCCATCCCGGCCTTCAAAGGTGCTCACTAACAGCCATTGCCCCAACAGTCTGTTAAGGCTATACGGGGGATCTGTATATTTGTGTCTGATTGAGTGAGTGAGTTGTAGTGTAGCGGTTAGCATGCTGCGCTACAAACTCGGCGACCCGAGTTCGATTCTCATACCATGAAGACGGTTATCTGAAGCGGTCTTGAACCTCCCCTATTTCGGATAAGTCTCAATTGAGTACCTGGTGCGTTGTGTAAACATCACCACTCGGGAGGCAAAGATGGTGCTGGCCACCCATCCCCTCGTTTGCCGTGCTGGCTTTCAAACGTGCTCCCTAACAGCACTTGCCCCAACAGTCTGTTACAGGCAATGCGGGGCATCTTTGCCTTTTGAGTGTGTGAGTACGTGGGTAAATGGAATTTAGCTGCAAATCTGGGAACTCTCCTTGCTGCTCGTTCCTTCTGAGTCACTCATTCAAAATTCCGCTTGTGCCTCGTAAAGTACAGCAAGCAGCGGAAAGTACTGTGCCGATTTCCTCATTACCCCCCCCCCCCCCCCCGACACACCAACCCCTGCCCCTCCATCGCAGTTGGTCGATCGGCAGGTGGTGGGGTTTAAGTGGGGGCACTCCTAACTCTTGGAAGAGTAGGCCAAAACACCCTCCAGTGGACTCTCGAGAGCTTCATCCAGTCCCATCCGCCAGCAGTGGTGCGAGTGAGCGACTTGCAGGGTTACGCCTTGACTTTCTTGCTGATTTACGTCACTGCTGGTCAACTCTCGATCACCGGCTGTAAATTGTGGGAGTGGTGGCCCAGGTGAAAAACTAATTTACGGATAACACGAAGCATCCGTGATAGCAAGTATTGCTCACCAACACAGAAAGCGAGTGATGGACAGGATGTGCTATATGCTGGTATTATTTATTCCATTAATTAGCTTACTTTCTGGCATTTGCCGCTATGTGGGCGCTAAGTCAAAAAATCTGGAGCTCAACGAATGATTAATTTTTCACAAGCACGGTTAATCCGCAACCTGGATTTAATACCCATGGATATGACTGTACCATCATCATTATCATGACCTGTACCATCACGGTCATTGTAAAACAGGTTTTCGGGAGCTGGTGCCACCTCACAATGAGCTCTCAGTTTTTTTAAAAATAATTCTTATTCATGTCGTATGGCTGATGTATATGCAGAGCAACAACAACAACAATTTCACATTCAGGTGGTCAAGCCAGAGGGCAGCAGCAGCAGCAGCGGAGTGTCACCGCTGTCACGTCTCCTTTGTATTTGTGGACCGGGCATTGCGTCATTATACGTTTCACGGTCTGTTCTGGATGACCACCGTTGTACACTCCTGGAGAGTTTTTTTTCTTTTCCATTTGTGCATCTGGGATCCGCCTCTGCCATGGTTTGGTAAATCATTGATAACTATCATCGCCAGCATCACCCTGGATGCATTCGATTTGAAATCACCAAGGCTCGCCAGAATTTTGAATCTGGCTAGTGCTTAGATGGCAAAATGCCTGGGAATAGCGTGTGTTGTAGACTTGCATTGCAGCCTGACCAGGAAGATAGCTGTATGGCAATGAAATGATGAACACAAATTGTGCGGAGATTTTAGTGTTAAGCTATCACGTTGAGTGGGTTGTCTCTGAGTATGGCAGTTTTCTCCCATGCACATACCACATTGGTGGCACATCTCAATGCAACACCCTTCTGAATAACAGCTTGTTGAGAAAGTTAAATATTTTATTGATTTAAGCCTTAGAATGCAAAAAATAGGCGATATTTGGAGAGTCGATAGCCATCTTATCTCCACAATCTTCATCTTTGTTGAAGAGCATATGCTGACGGGTGGGTATGACCAACATTTATTGACAATCATTTAAAATTGTAGTCTTTCCACCCCCACACCAATGCTATCCCAGTCGTGCTACCGCCATTTAGGCGCAGAAATCAGAGCTGCGCGTCACGTTGAGGGAAACGACCCTTTAAAGGGGGCTAAGTCTTCACGTGCACGGCCCCCATTGAAAATTTGTTCGTTTCTCTGGCAGCTTAAAGGCCACGCCATATCCACCAGTGGCCTGCAAGTGGAGGATCCATGCGACCTGAAGATCACCATCATTGACCAGAACGACAACCCGCCCGTCTTCAACATCTCCTTCCAGGGCGCCGTCAAGGAGGGGTCTCCGCCCGGTAAGCCAGGTCGACCCCTACAGCAAACCCCATGGCACCGCGCGCTTTAATCTTTTACTCCGATTTCCCAGTGAGACGGCAATCTCAGCATCAGAACTACTTGCTATATAATCACAGGCGGCTGCGCCTGGGTTGGAACCCAGTATTTCAACGGTGCCAGCTCAGTGCTCTGACCTCTCTCTCGAACCGCCCGGTCACCTTTCCCCTCCACCTCTTCACTCGTTTTAATTTGCATTCCTCGCGCATCCCCTGACTTGCAGGCACCATGGTGATGCAATTGATTGCCACGGACCGGGATGACCCGAAAACGGCAAACGCGCGGCTCTTCTACAAGATTCTGAGCCAGACTCCGTCAGGAAAATTGTTCGCTGTCAACGAGAAGACGGGCATCGTCACCACATTATCCAGCGGCCTCGATCGCGAGGTGAGACTGCCTCCTCTTTCATTTGTTAACAACTGACTTTAGCCGCCCCCCCCCCCCCCCAGGCTGATATTCTGTGTTGGGCGAGGGGGCGAGACACTTAGGGGGCCTCGTTATCATCATCATTGTCGTCACGATTCGTTGGCAGATAGCTCGTAGTTGTCCACTGCACATTTCATCATTATAAATGTATTTCGGTCTCTATTTGAGACCAAAACAGGAGGATTTCTCCACAACTCTGGCTGTCGTCTGATGAGGTTGGTTGTAATTACCGGCGAAACATCGTACTCGAATTGTAAATCTTATGGGTTTACTCTCCAACACACCAGTGTGCTGAACTTGTAACTAATTGGAATGTTTTGTTTACGTGACAAACCCTACTAAGTGACTCTCGGGTGGTCGCGGGTTTAACGACACATTTATATTTACGCGATCTGACCCAAAAAAAACCCTCTATTTTATGGATAATAAATACATGTTTGGTTCACGGTCAGCAAACCCGGCACATACTGTGTTTTAAACGATGCCAAGAAAAAAATGTTGCTTCTGTTCAGCGGAGGGAAGGTGGGGTGACGGTGCAATGGTGGGGTGGGACTACGGGGAGGCAGAGGGGAGTGGGCTGAGTCCACTGCACCAGACGGCTGTTGAAATATTCGGACGAGAAATCAGGCGCTTCGGGGGCCGTGTCGAGCTGTCGAGCTCAGCTCTGATTTGTAACGGCCGTGGAAATATCTTCGTACCCCCAGTTATGGGTACAAAAAAAAATACTAAGCTAGGAAGGATTTAAAAATCGAATCACATCGTGAGTACACTGTGTATTACAGCGCAAGGCTATCACGGAAGCGCTACGTTGTACAAAGTCGGCAGTAGTTTCACAGTACGGGGCGACGTTTCTACGCATTGCCCCAGTTGAGTTAATTGCTGTTAATTTTAGAAAATTCGGCTACTTTTGGACCACGACGCTGGCCCACAATGGCCCACCCTCGCAGAGGGTCCCCGTGACGTCCACCGCGAAGCAGCACGGCGCGCGTTGACGCCTGAATGCTCGCGCAGCATTAACCAGGGCGGCCGGAGAGGTTCGAAGCGGCCCCCCCCCCCCCCGGGTAACACGAGCCGGCGCGTGTGCACCGCCCGCGTCCTCGCGTAGACCACATCGAGCTACTCGCTGTCCGTGATGGCGACGGACAGCATCGGCGCAGGCCACGGCCTGAGCAGCATGGCCTCCTACACCGTCCGCCTCATCGACATCAACGACAACGCCCCCGCCTTCAACAGCAAGAGCGTGAGTGCCCGCACGCGCGCTCGCGGTAGAGGCGGCGGTGGCAGCACAAGAAGCCGGGCTCTATCTGCCTTGCGACACCGATGGGGGTGGGGCGGCGGGTGGGGCGGGTGGGTGGCGGGGCTCCGGTGCTGTTTGTCTCGGCGACAGGCGCGGTGAGACGTGGCTGTAATCCAGTGGGATGCGGCCATACCGAGGTCGACTCGGCCATAAGTGGGTGGAGTGTGCAGACAGCAATGGGGACATGAAGGCGAAGGTGGCCGGTGATGGTGGTGGTTGACCATATCACCACCCCCTCCCCCCCGCCCCCTAAAGTGGCATGCCACCCTGCGGAGTTGCTCGTTGATGGCACTTGCACCCCACAGCCTGTGTGTGAGTTACACGGGTGGTGGGTGGGGGCATCTTTGCCTTGGACTTTTTTGTGATGCAGTTATATTTGGACATGATACAAACTAAAATTGTACAGTTATCATATTGTATTATTACGATTGCTTTGGGTACAGGATATAGCCTATAATTGCCAGAATGATCTTTTGACCTATCTGTTTATATTTTTGAGCATTGCCCGTCCTTACCGTAAATGACGCCCAGGGTGGATGAAGGAAAGTAACCAAAATTAAAATTGTCCTCCGGTAATAACCCCGTCGTTTGTTGTCGTTCGTTCTCCGTCACGGGAACCGCTGCGTGGAAGTTGCCACCACATTTATAGTTTAGGTGAGTTGTATTTCCATCTTTTCGTGAATTGATTTGTTTACCTTTCCTATACTCTGCACTCCTATCGTGTTTTGCATTGTTTGTTGTAACGCTTTGACCCGTCCCGACTAGACATCTTCGCAGCTCATCGGATTCCTCCAGGATGAAAAAATATTCTGATTCTGACAGAATCATCCCCGTCGCTGTCGCCCCCCCCCCCCTCCACAGCTTTGCATTCTGGGCATTCGCCCGGATCACCTGGCCGCTAAGGCCAGTCCTGCTCTGCCTGCGCGTTGCTTTGTCCACTCCCCGTTTAAATCTCTTGTCTTGCCCTGTCCCCCCCGCCCCCACCCCGCTCCATCCACGTCTATCGACGCCTGCAGTTCTCGGGCACGGCGGTGGAGAACATGGTGGGCGCCACGGTGGCCACGATCGCCTGCAGCGACCGCGACGAAGAGTTCTCCGCGAACTGGCGCGCCGTCTACACCATCGTGAGCGGCAACAGCGGCGGCTGGTTCGCCGTGCACACCGACCCCAAGACCAACCAGGGAGTCATCACCACCATCAAGGTCTCGCCTCGCACCCCACCACCCTCCAGCACCAAACCCCGCCAGCACCAGCCCCTGACATCAGCGGCTCTTCCGCAGCTGGCCAGAAAAAAAACTTACAGAGTGTCCCGCACAGCTACAGCCGGCCTAGAGATATTGCCCGCCAATGCCCAAATTGATACATATTGGTGAGATTCGAGATAATTGAACGAGCGCTACAGATGGGAGACAAAGAGATTTTTCAAACGGGATGTAGATGAGAGATACGTTGGTAAGAGATTACAATTATAGACACGATAGATAGAGAGACGCACAGCAGATAGAGATGAGAGGGAGGCGTAGACAAGAGATTGCGATTAATGATATTAGAGATGAACGAGACAGAGATGAGACAGCTGAAGACAAAGAGCACAGATTAGTTGTCACACGTACAGATGTCATGACGTCACAACAACACGAGACGCCATTAAAACACATGACGTCGCATGCCCCGCAAGCAGACGCCTCGTTTATTACGTTGCCTGCCAAAACCATTTGAAGAACCGTGCACCTTTACACGCTCGGGCAGTCGCATGGTTCTCAACGTACACCTCAAAGATGCATGTGACCCAGGTTCGCCAGCGCCGCCACCTCCGCCCTCTGACCTGTGACTCACCCGGGCTACCCCATGTTGTTGGCTTTCCCGTAACCGCTACTTTAGCGGGCGGCGGGGGGGTGCCCTTCTCCCGATGCTCACGGCTGTCCCCCTTTGGCAGGCGCTGGACTACGAGTCCATGCAGAAGGCGCAACTGGGCGTCTCCGTGCAGAACGAGGTGCCGCTCCTAACCAGCACGGGCCAGGTCATCTCGGGCTACAAGTACGACTCTAGCACCGTGTCGGTGACCGTGCTTAACCAGGCCGAGGGGCCCGTGTTCATGCCGCCGGAGCGCCGGGTCTCCATCGCCGAGGGCGTCGCCGTAGCAACGCTGCTCACCACCTTCACGGCCCAGGACGGAGACAGGGACCCCAATGCTCGGATTCGGTGGGTGCGCCCCGCCTGCCCGCACGCGCGCGAGCATGCGCGCACGCCGGGGGCTAACGGCCAGAGCCCCGAAGCAGCCATCGAACAAAGACGGTCACCGCATTGCTCGTTTTCAGATGCGCTTCTGTGGCCATCTGGAATGCTTCTTCCTTCCAATATTAGGAAGCCACTGGAGCAATGCGCATTTAAATCTAGATTCAAAACGAATTTCTTTAGAACTGCTTTTTATGTTTAGTGTGTTGCCCTTGCCCCCCGCACCTCTGGTTGGCACGGTTGGCTAATCCATAGCCCACCTCGCGCTGCAGATACCAGAAAATCATGGACCCCGCAAACTGGCTGCGCATCGACCCTGTGACCGGCGCGGTGTACACCACCGCCGTGCTCGACCGCGAGAGCCCGTACGTGCACAACAACACCTACACCGCCACCATCCTGGCCATCAAGGACGGTAAGCCTTCCGCCGGGGTTGTTGTCGACGCACGACACCGAACAGAGACGGTCGCCGTAGGTGAAGGGGCGCGGTGCCGCGGCGCGTGACGGACAATGGTCAGCGGCACCGGGGCTCCGGCCCACGCAGAGGGGTTGCACCATTGCCATCCGCGGAGACGAAAGTCAGGCCCGGGTTATAATCGCGTTCTGTTACAATAGCCGGCATTCGCGCACCGCCCGATAACCAAATTGGAAAAGGTAAGTTAAAAACCCAGTTTGTACTGCTTTGCCACACGTGTAGACACGTCTGCAGCAATGAACGTTACGTCTCTTCCCGGGTACACTGCGAAACGAAGGGTTGCTGCCGCGCTATCGGTGGTCAGCACGTGGGAAACAATGGCGCAAGTTTGCGGAGATCAGCTTCACGCGCTGATCTCCGCACCTCCAATTGGCACGTTTGGCTGCGTACGGTGCTGGAAGAAGTTCGACATACGAACACGCACGCGCTGGGCGCGCGCGTTACGTACGCCCTCATGGACCGACGCGTGTTTGCGGCCGGTTTGGCTCTTCTGTTGCCAGCAGGTGTCGCGCACACCTCCCAAGGAGCACGGTTGGCTACATACATACATATATACATATGTACGTTGAACTTCTTTCGCAGCATAACGTAACCGCCTGCCCCGTTCGTCCGCAGGCCCTCCGTCGATGACGTCGACAGGAACGCTCGTGCTGGCAGTGCAGGACATCAACGACCATGCGCCCGCGTTGCTCAATGGCAACGTGACATCGTGCACCAGAGACGACCCGACGCAGGCCAACATCACGGCCATCGACCGGGACAACTACCCCAACGCCGGGCCCCTGCGCTTCGAAGTGGTCGGAAACGAGGCACAGGCTTTGTGGGCCATACAGCCCATTGACGGTGAGAGCGGCATTGCCATCGTCGTTACCACTGACACATCAAATCAAGTCGTGATTTCACAAAGGCACCGCTGTATTTCAGAGACCTAGTTTGTTGTCCTTCCGCCGCACCTCAATTGGCACGGTTGGCTACGCATGGTGAGAAAGAAGTTCAGCGTACATACAGGCAGTCCCTGATTAACACGATAGATGCGTTCTTGAAAATCTTCGTGGAAGGTAAAATTACGTTAATAAATTTCACCATCCTATGTAGCTCTTTTTCAGAAGCGACCTGACCAAATAGGATAGCTCAACGATGTGGCTCATCATCTGGAAATGTATAGCACGATTCTAAATATAGAGACAAAAATCAGAGGACCCAGATAAAATCCACGTGATCACGGAGAGAGCATGCAAACTCCAAATATACAGGCATCAGGGTCGGCATCGAACCCACAACCTCACCAGATTCCGCAGGCCAGCAACGGGGCACAGCGGTAGAGCGAGGGGCTCTTAATCGGAAGTTTGCGAGTTCAAATCTTGGAATGGAGGCGTTGACTCAGCTCATCATCCCTCCGCCACAGGAATTTTTTTATTTTCACCACTGGTTCAGGGCTGTGGTGGCGCATGCCTTCAATACAGAAAGCACTATGGGAGAAGATGGTAAAGCAAAAATGTGGACTACACCTGTCCTACGTGTGTGGGATGCAATGTTTCCCCCCCTTAGACGTGTGGGTTTTTACCAGGTGCTCCGGTTTCCTCCCACGTGTGAACACTCATTAATTTACCCGATAACACCTTTAATATATAAAGGGCCGTGCAGCTGTGCCAATTGTTGATGCCGGCTCACCGCGTGGCTGCCTTGCCACCTGTCTGTGGTTCCTCACGCCTCTGAGTCGTTCTCTGCCGACGAGAGAGCGAATACGGTACCGAGTTACAAGTAGAAATCACTAATAGTTATTACAAGAGACGTGGACCACTTTCATGCTCATATGAGCAGGAATTCACTCTTGACTTTTTGAACACAATCTGCTGCCAATTAAGAATCCACGTATGAACCTCCCATCCCCCGTGTGCGTGCGTGAACCATCACACACACGTGGGGAGCGGTAGTGTAGCGGTTGGCGCGCTGCGCTACAAACCCGGCGACTCGAGTTCCGTTCCCACTCATGGTCAACACCAGTCACGATTGTCTGAACAGGTCTTGGGCCTCCTATGTCGACTCAGCCTCAAATTAGTACTTAGGACGGTCGGGCGCGATGCTGCCCACCCACCCCCTCGTGTGCCGTGCCAGCCTTCATAGGTGCTCGCATAACAGCACTCGTCCCAACAGTCTGTTAAGGTTACACGGGGGTTCTTTGTCTTTTTGCGCCGTCACAGACCGCTCGGCGTACATCGTGTACCGCAACGGGAAGGCGCCTCACCACATCCACGAGGTTCCTGTGCGCATCCAAGACCGGCAGGGCAAGGCCAGCGAGCACATGGTGCACGTGGGCATTTGCGAGTGCTTCGACAACTCGGACGTGTGCAAGCAGTGGCCCTTCGTGCCTCCTGCTCCCCTGGTGGGCGGAGCCGGGCTGAGCCCAGGGGCAATCGCTGCCCTCGTCCTCTCACTCCTCCTGCTGCCTCTCCTCGGTACGGACGGGTCGCGATGGCTGAGCACCGTCAGGCTTTGATTTTTGTTTTGGTGTTATTTAACACGCTCCTAACTAAGGCTGAAAGCCTCGTTTTATACGTTCGCTCTGTCCGTCTGATGATGACCTCTCGTGTTCGGGACTTGTCAGCCCTTAACTTCTCACTGCTGGTGTAAGACACCAGTAAAATACGTGTGAAAACGAGTGATTGAAAACGGCTCTGAACAGATCTCAGCATAAAGAGACGGGAGTAGAGGGAGACCGAGACGAGGATGTGGTAGACACGATACGAGGCCAGTGGATGTGACGAGAGAAGAGGCGCAGAATGGAAGCTCATGGAGGGAGAATATCCTCGTGCACCCAAGGGAAACACAACATGATCACAATCGTCGTTGCGGATAACATAAGCAAAACAAAATCAGCGGACAATATTGCCTGCCATCGGGATGCCGTGGCCGGTAATTATAACCGGTTTCCATTGAGCGACGGTCAATCGCCTCTTTGAGCCCTGACCTCCGTCCGACCTCCCCTCTCTCCACCGCCACATCTCTCGATGGTCACCAGCGCTGCTGCTCATGCTGCTCTTCTCCAAGTGCTGCCCCATGGGTGTGGCCGGCGCCGGTGGGGCCGGGAAAGGGAAGCTCTTCATGGTTCCCGCGGACGACGGCATCAAGGGTTCCCTCATGTCGTACCACGACGAGGGGGCCGGAGAAGTGGACAAGGTGCGTGTGTTTTGTTATAGGACGCCGCGGTGGCGAGATGTCAACTCCCTCGCCTGGTATGCAGGAGGTCGTGGGTTTGATCCCGACCTTAGCGCCTGTCTATTTGGAGTTTGCGTGTTCTCCCCGTGGTAGTGTGCATGTTTCTTCAGGTCCTCCGGTTTTCCCATCCACATTTAGAAACAACGTGCATTTAGAGCATTTCGCTGCTATAAAAATGTCCGCGCCATAAACCACTTGAGATATAATTTATGGTAGCCAGGTCGCTTCTGAGCTAGAGCTATGTTGCTCAGTGGGCCTTACCTGGTAAAATAAAAAATAGTTTCATTTGGTAGTTTCGTTTTTGAATGCTGGTTGCAGATGTAGCCGGGCGTCGCCTTGCTCCTCGCGGCGTTTGTCAGTGGGCCTGTGGTGTCGTTTACCGTTACCGCTGGTGGAGAAAGAGAGGGAAAGATAGGGCCAGGCTCGAAGGCTCAACACGCCAAGTGATGGGCAGCAAACTACGCTGCGGAAGGTGTAATACATAGGAGCGTTGTACTCAAATTGTACATGTTGTGGGTTTACTCTCCAACACACCGGTGTGCTGAAGTATGAACTAATTGGCACATTTAGTTTTTTGACAAACCTTACTGATTGGCTGTAACGGGTGGTGGTGGGTTAACGACACATTTATATTTTCGCGATCTAACCCAAAATAAGCTTTATAATGAGTAATAGATAGGAGTTGGTACATTTGTTTAATTGAGCAAGGTTATGAGGCCTTGTGCAAAGAGGCGATGATTCGAGCAGCGCGAGGGAAGGATCAAAAAGAGAAAAGTTGTGACCTGCAGTGTGGGTGGTTGAACGCAGCACGGATGAGACAAAAAACGAGTCATGGGGGACCAAGTCATCAACATGGGTGGAGGAACAACTAACTTACGTTTTCGTAAAAACCATGAATGATGACAGTAGTGACGGGAAAAGTGGAAAGGGGCGACTGGCCACTTGTGAGCGAGTGACTGGGAGTGAATCAATGAGTCGCATTTACTTTCCACATTTCACAACCATATGAGATATTGCTTATGCAAACACTACCACGCCCAAAAGGGGGGGGGGGGAGTATGATTTTACAATGTAGCACATGTGAAGTGTTTGACCAGGTGCAAAAATCTCACCAGGTCTACAGAAACTTTATTAATCGGTTGGCTAAAATGTCCCATACTAATTTTTTGCATTTTATTTATTCATTCGTTGATCCTTTTTTTCCCCTCCCCAGAATATGGCCCTGTCGTCCCTGCACGGGTCCCACGTGCACAAAAACGGGGGCTCCGTCGCGTCCGACGCCACCATCTCCAGGCTCAACCAAATGGTCGACGGCTCTGCGGTCGGGGGCATGGCGGCCGGCGCTGCCGCGGCGGCGGCGGCGGCGGCTGGCGGGGCGGCAATGGGCGCCGGAATGGCGGGGGCCAGCGGGTCGTCGGAGACGCGGAACGAAGTCACCAAGACGGTCACCACGACTCGGTCCTCGTCGGGGGCCCACAGCGCATCGGGGCACGCGGCCGGGGCGGCCGGGGCGGCAGGGGCGGCCGGGGCGGCAGGGGCGAGTCTGATGGCAGGGGCGGCGGGGATGGGGCAGGGCAGGTCAGCGGGAGGGGACGTGCATTCCGGCTACGCCACCACGCGCTCGCACGGTTACTCTACCGGCGGGCGTTATGGCGCTGGCGCCGCTGGGTTCGACGGCACGGAGGTTTACGGCGCTGACTATGGGTGAGAAATGAATTTCGCCTTGAGGCTTTTCTTTTTGAGTTTTTTAACAAGGTTAAAGTGCAGCCCTGTAATCTCTTGCTTACATCATTGCACTAGAGGTTGCTTTGAATGCACGGATTTTGAATGAATGTATTATTTGTATTTTACTGCTAATAAAAAACATTGATTACACCTTCCATGCCATTAACATCTGCAATAGCTGTGTTAAGGTAAAACAACGTGTAATAAGTTAACATTTTGGGCAATAGTGCATATTCTCTGCTCTGCATACGGACCATTGCGTAAATCAGTCTTGTGTCCTAATGCAATGCCAACGATGGGAGCGGTGGGATTCTTTCGACCACTGCTCAAACTCGGCCGCCCGCGCCGACGCCTCACTCTTTACACGAGGGTTGACATCGCGCCCGTGCCCGACACAGGCTGTCGGACCACGGAACCTGGGCCCACCCGGGGAGGCTGCGTCGAGTGGAGGCTCCTCCCGTCATCACCGAGTCCACCTCGTCATACCACTACCGCTCGCTGCAGAGTCACAGGGAGGGAGTCAAGAACGTGGAACTCTTCCTCGGAGAGGTAGCCCCCCCCCACACCACCCTCCCCCCCCCGCCCCTGGAACAGAGACCTTGGGCGACGCTTTGCTCCGGCGTCGCAATCGTTTCCTTAGCAGGCCTTTCCACGTCCCGCCCACGTTGCTGCCGAAACGACATGCCGCGGCCTTCGGCACGACCCAAGAATAAACCCCCCCCAAAGCGGGGTGGTGACCACAGCGCAATCCGCACACTGGCGTAGCTGTCGAGTGTGCAGGCGGGGCAACTGTGTCAGGGAACCACGGGCTGGGGGGTGGGGCAGGCGGCGGGCTGTGAAGGATGGGGAAATTGTTTAGGTTGGGCCCCGGCTTGACATTCGGTGTACCAGGGCCCGTTCCAACCACGCCGCATCGCTGTTCTATTCTTGCGTGTGGCAGCAGTGTGTTCAGGAGCTAATCGGCGATATCGAGGTCTGCCCAAGCATGACGAGAGGGCTTCCGGAGAGATTTTGTGTTGTTCATTTTATATGAGTGAAGGAGAAGTGTGCATTGGCCTGTTGATCTTCCGATTCGTTTGATGGCTGCGACAGCGTCTTCGAGGAATGGCAAAGCTATGCCACTGCAGCCATGGGACTATCGTCTTCATTAGGAGCAGCGGGCAAAAGCATCGTAGCAATACTAAAAGTAATAGTTAACAAATCCTTGTCAATCCACTGCTGGATGTAGGCATCCCCACACCGCATCAGTTTATAGGGGTTGTCTAAGCTTACTTCGCCATGCCGGTCAGTGCGGGTTGGTGAAGGGGAGGCAACCCAAGACTGATTCCAGATGTAATCTGCCACCGATGTTGGCCATGGTCGAGAATGGATCTCAAGATCACTCCGGGTTTATAGCGCAGTTTGCGAACTGCTGCGCAAGCACTCCGCTGCCGAATAGCAACGATTTCCATTGTTTGCATCGACTTTATTTACAATTAACATTAATTGTTTTTATTTAAAGGTTTCATGACTCCAGGAATCCATACTCTTTGGTTCTTTCGGTAAAGTCACATAGGTAGAAAAAACACATATAAGACAAATCACGACGTTTCGATCGCAACAAAAGCAGTCGTCATCAAGGTGAGACAACTACAGCAAGAAAACTTCTGAAGTAGGCGGGAGAGCTGCCGTGACAAGAGGTCTGACCTATATGACCTCTTGTCACGGCAGCTCTCCCGCCTGCTTCAGCACTTTTCTTGCTGTAGCTGTCTCACCTTGATGACGATTGCTTGTGCTGCGATTGAAACGTCATGATTTGTTTTTTTCTACCTACGTGACTTTACCGAAAGAACCAAAGAGTATTAATTGTTTTACTCAAAAGTTGTGTTCCTGTCATGCTGTATCTATTGGAAACTAGTCGGCACTTTTTGCTTCTTGTTGTGCAGATTATCGGAGTGTCCTTTTGCCAATCACTGTGCACGCACAGAGATTGGCACAATGAGTGAAATTTCCTACGAGTGCCAAATAATTTTTTGTTGTTGCGGATGTTGGCGACTCGGGCAGAGACTGCCAAATTGACCTAAATAAATGTATCGTGGGGGAAGCATTTGAGACCGGTTATAAACTGCCCCCCCCCCCAGCATAGCAGGCAAGAGCATTTCCTGTGTAGGATAGAGAACGTATTTGACAATGTTCCCACAGAACGCTATCGCAGGGGGGCCGAGATGGGGGTTGGAACCAGTCACCAATGGACTTGGAGGCGAATGTCCTGACCCCCTAGACTGCCCAGCCGCCCCCATGTGAGTTAGCAGTGTGGTGGCCGTGCCCAGTGATAAGTGTTAAAGCCAGGCAAACACGCGAAGGCAAATTGGTCCGATTAGCACGGTTGGCTACGTACGGTGTGAAAAGAAGTTCAACGTACGTACGTGCAAGTGACCCACATTTCCGTAATGTTCCGGTCTCACCCTTACCGAGCGGTACTCTATGGGCCCAGGGTACATTTATCACTGGTGCTTCTGGTTTTCCTTCACTGTTTCGAGAAGCGGCTGGGCTTTTCTCTTTCGCTCGTGATGTTTCTAATAAGTGTTACCCACACCACGAAGCTTTGCTGGGTCAATACCATTGGCACTTAAAAAAATCACACGCAATTATATTTGCCTAAAAAAAACCGTATACGCAACTGGTCGTCAAATTCATTTGACAAATGTCGCTTTGCATAAACTGTGTGAAAAGGTTGAATTATCGCACTGTAATAATTGTTCGCGAGAGTAATTTTTGTTCAAATTTGATTCTCAAATGCCCGTCAAAAAGACAACTTAAATCTTTTACAAGACTCTAAATAACTTAACAATTAACCTTCACGCAACAAATACGTAATAGCGTCGCTGCAGTACTGATGGGCACGTGCTTCTCGCGTGCTCTTTCCGTTGCCTCCTCTAGGCCAAGAGCCTGGCCGACAGGGACCCCTCAGCGCCCCCGTACGAGACACTTCTGATTTACGACTACGAGGGCAACGCCACCCCTACCGACTCACTCTCCGTCTGCTCGGTCATCGTGGACGAGGAAGCCAGGACATCGCGGTTGATCTCCTAAGGGCCCGCACCGCCCTTCTCAATGGCTTCATCGTCATCCAACAGTTTTTTTGGTTATTTTGGTTTAGGTCCCCGATGACGCTGGCGCAGCATACGAAACACCGGACCGACGACACGTGCCGTTTTTCTTTTTCAGTGTTTTTTTTGGGGGGGAATTCGTTTAATTGATAGCACTCGCGAAAAGTGCTTTTCGCTGGTTTTGTAACAGTTTTTGTTTGTTTAGGCCAGTACTGTTTACTGACAATTCAATCGCAAGATTCATTGAATGGATTGTAATTAAGACTGAAAAAAACTGGGAAAGTATTAGAAAACCCATTGTCTGTACATCTTAAGCAGTTTGCGCAGCGACTGTACATTACCACATCCAGCCGGTCAGTTTAAGAAAATGCAGAACACATTTATGCAAACAATCACCTGCTTTAGACAAAATAATATCAATAAAGTATTATTAAGGCTGTTACCTCTGAAACTAAGTTTCGGGCTGCCTTTATCATTTGAACAAAAGTTAGCGGGAATATGGGAATGTTTCTCCGTGGATTTTGACATTAAGCATAGCTTGTAAATCCACATTGCAGTTAATTGTTTTTTTTATTAATGTTAATTTTTTTTGTCAATGAAATCTCATTTTTGGGCCAAGACGTTTTATGTACAAAACAAAAAAAATCAACAAAGTTTTTGTAAACAACAGTTCTCAAGTACGGTTTAAATCGATCACACCATTTCAAAAATGAAGGTTTATTTTTTTGTAACTGGATGACTATTTATTTGCAATCGGCGACATTCTTACGGGGGAATCTTACGGTTATCTACATTGCAACAGAATAACATCCTACTTCATATTAACTTAATTTGCGAGTGTTCTTCACATTAATTGGCACCATTGCAATGCTTTATCTTTCAAAAATACGTTGGTTTAAAAGAAATGTAAAAATGTTATCGATTTCCCCCTCCCACCCCTTCCTCTCCCCACACCCCTTGCCAACAAAGCTACTAACCCGGTGCGCATATGAGGCTGGAAGAACAAGTTGCTTCACTGCTTTCTTGTGGAAATATTGTAACTCAAGGGGATACCATGTACACTTTCGCTGGAGGTTAGAGAAGACTTGGTCACATTGTGCTCTTGCAGAGTGATAAACCCATGCACGCGCATTTGTCATCAGTGCTCCAAATAAGCAGCGTTTACTGGGAATTCCGCTCATTAAACGCACGTGGATTTTTTTTTTTTGTTGCGTGGCATTATCAATGTGACGCGTGGCAGTGGCATTTAGCAAAAAAAAATATCGCTCCGAGCAGGACGATCAAGGCTCGAAAGGAGGGCCCGCGTGATGTGTTGAGCACGATGCGTCTGACGGTTCCCTGGGTGCCAGAACCCTATGGGCCCACTGGCAGGGCTGGGGCCTGTCGGGCTTGAATTGGCGGTCCGCGTGATCCTAGCGGCCCATGAGGAGGCGTCCGTCTGTAGTTTGTGTTTCTTTAGGATTTAAACAAAAACAAAGAACTTAATTTCTTTTTTGAAACAGTCTCATTGAGAAACTTTGAGGTTGTACCAACTTTTTGTATCGTACAAAGAACCATTTCTGTTAAAATGTAAGGCTCTACCATACGCTGGCATTGAGAGATTGTGCAGTATTTCTCTAAAGTCCTCACGACGTCAAAGTAATGTTGCATGACCCTTATCTGGAGCGCTGGTTGTCACCCACACCCCACTTTACAAAACACTCACACATTCCCTGTCAAACTGATGGTGTAACTTCGTTAAACGGTCATACCTTAAAATAAAACAAGGTGTCGTGGCATACGTGATTAATAATTTTAATTGAAGGAGCAACATGAAACGAGGATGTAAGATACAAAACGTAGTTTTCCATTTCACTTACAAATTTACCAAAACATAACTGTTGCGAATGCATTGTTTTTAAAGTTATGCTTCCGCAGTACTGTAGGTTGTAGCTGCAATTACTCTGCTACTCAGCATTATGGTACTTTACCCGTACCACTCTCCTATAGGATGCATGCACGCTATGCACAGTGACCACGGACCACCAAGCTGGCTTCGAATGCCACAATTATTTTACAGTATTTCAATATTATTCACCCCGTCACGGCTTTTGGTTTTGAGTTCATTTCAGCGAGCATTGAGCCAACAGCCGTGCCATTGAGGCCCCCAGGCACGCAGATTCATGTTTGTGCCAGGAATGTTCAGATATTCTTTTATTTGCTCAATGCGCTTCACTGCTTTCGATTACGACAGCAGAGAAGGTGGCGAAAGACACGCTCAAGGATTGAACCTCTGTTGCAAGTTAAGTCTTGAATATTGAACTTGCACATAATGATTATAGCCATGGAACTGCACTGATTTGCCATTCACGGTTTATCGATGACTGCGTGCAAAATGGAGAAACGGCTTCACAAAGGGCATTCTCTACAATCGGAGCGCAGCCTAAACAACGGAGTCCGGTGCTGAGGGGTGAACAAAGCTTTGCTTTGCTTATGTTTGTTATATATATAAAGGATGTGTAATTTCCGCTAACACTCCTGCATTTTGTGTTTGTGCGCGTGTGTTTTTATCCATGTTTTATCTGGTGTTTTTACACGCTTTTGCTGCCTTCTGTACTCATTTTTCTTTTAAAGAAGTAATTATTACGTGGATCTGCTACGATTCACTCTTTGGTGGGGGGGGGGGGTAATGCTTGTGCCTACTCATCCAAAGATAAGTGTAATTCGTGAATGTATGTACGTTGAACTTCGTTCACACCGTACGTAGCCATCCGTGCGAATGTTTTTAACATTGTCAACTTGTAATGCGCCGCACAGCATTCGCTCACTCTGGGAGAGAATGAATCGGAGGCACGGAGAATCACACGCAAGCGGGAAGGCAGCTACGCGGGAGGGGGGTCGGCGTCAACAATTGCTGCCACAGCTCTGCGGCCCTCCACATATATTAATTAAGGTTGTCATCGGCCAAATTACTGAGTGTGGTTTACATGTGGGAGGAAACTGGAGCATCCGGAGGGGGGGGGGAAACACTTCGTAGCCCAAACGTACGGGGAAATGTGTGGAGTCCACATTTCCCCCCCCCCCCCCCGCTGCTGCTGCCTTTACTCATCGTGAGCCACGCTTACGGGGGACACCTCGGCGCTCACGGGAAGGCAGCTTCAACAACAATCGTACGATTCCACCAACTCTTCGCTGCCGCATTTAACGGGCGTGATCAATACGCAACGCAGACTGCATGTTTTGTTATTGTTGCGACCCGCCCCCCCCCTCTGCAAGGATGTATTTTTCATGAGTGATGCCGGTGAATGATTTATGCACTGCTCCGTTACCATGTTAAACGTCGAGGACAAAAAATTTGCTCCGTAAATAAATAAATAGAACCGCGTGCTCATGCAATTTTTACCTTTACGGCCCGGTGCTTAATTTCAGCCACGTCGGTCTGGAACATTGTTCATGGAATTGTATTGGCACGCCACATCCATCTCACCTTATTTTGCCCTCAATGATACGTCAACGCCTGTTCATTGGAATATTTGGTTACAATAACATACGATGATTAATAACGTAGGAAGTCATACTGTGGGTGTACCGTGTACACGAGTGGTATTTAATCCTTACTCCAAGCTAGCCTAGCAGCGCTCCATGAAATACTGCATGAGCTAGAAAGCCCTGCTAACACCTTTTGACAAATATTGACTTTGTGCAGTAATGTGATTGAAAAAGACATCCCCTGTATAGCTGGAACAGACTGTGGGGGCAAGTGCTGTTAGCGAGCACCTATGAAGGTCGACACGGCACACGAGGGGGTGGGTGGCCAACACCACGCCCGGCCTCCTTTGTCTCAAGAGTGGCGATGTTTTACACACCGCACCAAGTACTCATTTGAGGCTGAGTCGACCTAGGTGAGGCCCAGGACCGGTTCAAATAATTGTCACTGGTCTTGGTCGTGAATTGGGGATCGATCTCGGGTCGCCGGGTTCGTAGCGCAGGCGCGCTAACCGATGCACTAACGCTCCCCATAGTGTGACTGAGAGCACAGTACTGTGGTTCATAATAAACGTTTTTGGGTTAGATCGCGTTATTTATAAATGTGTCGTAACCCTCCACCACCCGACACGGCCAATCAGTAAAAAAAAGTGTCACGTTGACAAAAGTGTGTTGAAGAGTGAATCCAAAACATGTTTTAGATTCAAATATGTTTTGGATTCACCGGTGGGCTAAAGTAGTGAACTATTTTGTCTTTTGTCAACGTGACACTTTTTTTTACTGATTGGCCGTGTCGGGTGGTGAAGAGTTACGACACATTTATAAATAACGCGATCTAACCCAAAAACCTTTATTATAAATAGTATTGGTCGCGAAAGCCTACGTGTTAAACAGTCCTCTGGTTACCTGCCTGTGAGATAGATTGGATTTGGATGGCACTTGTGAGCTCCCATAGCAACATGGGTTTTATGGACGAGAGCAGGACAACCAAGACCTGCTTACAATATTAATATTCACGCTATTGTATTACACTTATTGTCCTAGGCTTATCGACTAGGCCTTATTTACTAGGTCCATGTGAGTAGGCGTTGCAGAACGTGCACACTCTGTGAAGTTTTCATTCCTTCTTCATGGTGGGCATCAGAGGACAGCATGGTAAAAAAAAATCCACCGCTGTGCTGCACTTGTATTCTCCTACGCACTGGTGGACATACCTAGAGGAGTCGGTAAACCACGTGAGCAGCCCTCCTTGGCCTCAGTGAGCCGCAAGCTTGGCATTGTGCTTGTGCAACAATCGTGACCCCCAGGCATCACCCTTTTGCAAGGAATCATGTCTGCATTAACCACATACTTGTGGTGAACACGCAAACAAAACGTGCTCTGGTAGTATATGATGCATTGTCTTTGAAACCGATTGGTCCTCACCAGAGATGGTGTTTTTTAGATCCTGGTCTCAAACTGTTTTAGACCAGAGGACACCAAAAGGCGAACAGCACAAAGACAATGCCACTATCAGGACATTGTGAGCTCTGGGTGAGCAGCTACATCATGGGACCTCCCTTGCCAGTATCAAAATATAAGAATAGGTTTTACCTGTTCTGGCAATAAAACAGTTGTGTTAAGATGTTAAAACACCAAACATAAACCCTTTGCAAGGAATCGTGTCTGCATTAACCAAATATACTTGTGGCGAATATGTAAACAAAAACAAACATGCTCTGGTAGTATATGCATTGTATTTGAGACTGATTGGTCCACACCAGAGACAGCTTTCTTTAGAACCTAGTCACAAACAGCGTTAGACCAGAGGACACCAAAAGGCGACCAGCACAAAGACAATGCCACTATCAGGACACTGAGAACTCGGGGTGAGCAGCTACATCATGGGACCTGTTGTGAAATGTGATCGCGTTGACGACTAACGACCCACAGGGTGAGGGGGAGATCCTCGTCCAGCAATGGATTGACAAAATGGGTTCTCGTTGCTTCTTTGGCTTTTTCTAATTTTTCAGTGAATTAAACTATCAATGTCATATTGTGGAATTGAGGACATTTCCACCTCATGTACAGTTTTAAATAATGCGCTCTGGAGGATAATAACAGAGCTCTCTTGAATTGCATGCATACCATTCAAAACTATTTAATGATTTTATATTTAACCCGAGCTGTTGCATCCCAATTTTTCTATAGATTGTCATGCCATGAGGATCTATTGTAGAGCTGTGTAACGCTTACATTCAGTGAATGCTCCACGGAAGTGGACATGACAGAGCAATTCATAATAAAGGTTTTTGGGTTAGATCGCGTTTATTTATAAATGTGTCGTAACCCTCCACCACCCGACACGGCCAATCAGCAAAAAAAGTGTCACGTTGACAAAAGACAAATAATTCACTACTTTAGCCCACCGGTGTGTTGAAGAGTGAATCCACAACATTTACAGTTTGAGTACGACGTTTCGCTGGTAAATACATCCAGCATCATCGGGCAATTGCTGGATGTATTTACCAGCGAAACGTCGTACTCAAACTGTAAATGTTGTGGATTCACTCTTCAACACACCGGTGGGCTAAAGTAGTGAATTATTTGTCTTTTGTCAACGTGACACTTTTTTTGCTGATTGGCCGTGTCGGGTGGTGGAGGGTTACGACACATTTATAAATAAACGCGATATAACCGAAAAACCTTTATTATGAATAATATTGGTCGCGAAAGCCTACGTGTTAAAATGACAGAGCAACCTCTGAAATTCCTTAAAGTGACCTGGTTCACACAGCAGAGGGCAACGCTTTCACACCTGTTGTGCAAAACAAATATGTTAATCCACAGAGCTGGAATTTAGATAAACTATAAAGTGCAGAACCAAATTCATTGCGATGTTTTTTTGGGGATGGGCAGGCATTGGTGACCCGGCTAAGACCATAAACACGACGGTAGCGAGATGTTAATTACCTCGCCTGGTATGCAGAGTTTGTATGTTTTCCCTGTGGTTGCGTGGATTTTTATCCGGGTCCTCCGGTTTTTCCCTGCGTATTTAGAATGAACACGCGTTCAGAGAATTTGGCTGCTCTCAATTTCCACGTGATAAGCCTATTTGTTGAGCTATCATTTGTGGCCAGGTCGCTTCTGAAAAAGTGCTATATGGCTCAGTGGGCCTGTCCTGGTAAAAAAAAAAAATAGTTTATAAACTCGATAAACTTGAGAACCCAATTGAACCATCACTTCTCAACAATGCCACTTCAGCTCCAACATGGCATTAACCGCACGAACAGCCCAGCCACGTCACGTCCATTGAATTGTGTGCTTTTAGGCCACATTATTACTGAAGGAATAAAACATTTTCCAAATCAAGATCAGGGTCAGGCCTCCTGTTAAATCTCCATCTGGAGCGCCGGATATTCGCGTTCACAAGTTATAATCACGTCAATTATTTAAGCTCGAAACATTTCGATTTAAAGCTTTCGTGACTGCAGGGATTCATCTTCTTGGTTCTTTCGGTAAAGTCACGTAGAATGGAAATAAAATAATACAAATAAAACATAATAAAATAAATTCTCACGACGTTTCGGCCACAAAATTTTCAACAGCTTGTGTTCCAATATGACAATTCTGATCGAAGACCCAATATTTGTAATGGAGAATAATATTGATTAAACCTTGAATTTAAATTGAACAGAGTCGGAACAAAGGTAATCACACATCTAAATGTATAAATTATAATCTCTCTACGCCAGACTACTTTGGAGAAGAGTCTCGGATTATGTGCGATATCCCGCATACTCCAAATCGTTACAATTCGACGTAATCATTTACGCACCCCACGCCTCACTTGCGTGAGGCGGGGGGGTCACGACCTACTTACAAATCTACTTCCAAAAGCTTCTGCTCGAATCTATCAATCAATGCGGCCGAGCCAAGGACCTTGGCCAAGAAGCCATGGACCCCCTCGGCCAAGGTGCTCTCCACGCTCACGTACAGCAAAACGTTGCCTCCAGGAGCAGCCTCTGGTGCCCGTGCCAGGTGAAACGCCACCTGCGCGTTGACCGCTGCAAGGCAGCAGCTACTCTTGCTGCTGCTGCTGAAAACATCGACGTCCTGCCGCCACCAGCGGCTCGGCTTGGGTATGGGAAATGCGCGGCCGCAGACGCTCAACACGGAGGGCTCGCGCGGGTCGTCCGTCGCCCAGGTGAGTGCGAGGCGTCTCAGAGCCGGGAAGTTGACCGGGTCGGGGCGGCAGGGCTCCCAGTTGTGCACGAAGAGGCGCGCGGGGAGGAGATCGTCGACGACGGCGGCACTCAGGAGGATGGCCTCCGCCTCGCTCTGCCGCACCTCCAGAGACAGCGAGCGGTCGGTGAGGTCGGCGGCTCGAGCGACGGTGGCGGCCATCGCCTCCGATGTCACGTGCAGGTGGAACATCACCTGCAGGGGAGCGGTGGCGATGCGGTTAGCGTGCTTGCGACCCACCCCCCTGCTCCCCCCCCCCAAGCACCGAATCGAGAAATCGCTGCATTGGTCAAATTCATTGATCACATAATGAAATAAATTATAAAGTTAAAAAAATAATTGAAGGGTTAACTCTACGTTTGTTACCCAAGTCAGTGGCATATTCATTCCTACTTCATTCAATGGCCTACCCAGTGCTGATCAACAACATGTAGGCAGGTACATAGAAAACTTCTAATCTCCATCGATATATGGGGAAGATGCTGGCACAGCCGATCCACAAATATAATTCCGAAGTTATCTGCAGCTAAATGTGAATTTGCCATTACATCTGAGTCATTCCTCTTTAATAGTCAATTTGTATCAGTAGCCTCAAAGGGAAACAGTGGACATCACAAAAAGTCTAACAATACATTTTCACGTTTTTTTACGAAAAGTCATTACGAACTTCGGATCGTTCCCCAAGCTGAACAAGATTAAATGGCCACGGTAGGGTTACGTGTGACACAACCGTGGGGCAATCCTTGCGGCCAGGACGGGCACCACGCTGCCGCACAACAGAACCCCCATCACTCGACTCGCGATCCACCCGCCAAAGCCTCACCGGGGTGAAGAGGTGGCAGCGACACCACGAGATCCGATCTGACGATTGTGAATCGCAAGGAGATGGGTCGCAAAGAGCGCGCAGCGAGGCATGATGAATGAGCATGCTATAAAGCGGTTATGACACGAGGTTAAACGGTCTCAACCACCGGTCTCAACCCGTGTGAAGAAGAGCAGGCGATTCAAACCATCGGATCTAATTATGCAGATCTAGGAACTTCCCAAGTGGGGCGGGGAGGTCCTGAAATGTCTCACTTTTGAAATAGGGCCCTACGTATTTTATATGGCTGGCACGTGGAGGGTGGGGGAGGGGGGGCACGTGTCCCCCACCTGCTCTTCATCACCGGGGTGAGACTGGTGGTTCAGATCGTTTAAGCTCGTGTCCTCACCGCTTAATCACTCGATTTTCAGAGTCTCCCCACCCCCCTCCCCCCGTCCTGGTATCCACCACTGATCGCAAAGAGCCGCTCGCTAGCTGCTGCAGGGCCACGTCCTCACCCGCGTGAAGAGCAGCCGGTGGCTCTTGAGCACCTCGGGGCCCACCGTGTCCCCGCGTAGCACGTGCTTGCGCATCACACCGGAGTGCCGCTCCCGCACGTACTCCAGGGTGTGGCGCTGGATGAGGCCGGCCACTCCTCTGCCCCGGTGCTCGGGGCCCACGCGGAGACCACCGACGAGGGCCGTCGCCCCCCCGTCCGTCAGCAGCAAAGATTCCAGTGCCACCTGAGAACGCGGCGCACTCAGGGCTCAAGAGCTTCGAGCTGGCACTGCTGGGGTGCCCGCGGTGGCTAGGAGAGATGTTAACTACCTCGTCCGGTGTACAGGAGGCCGTGGGTTCGATACCAACCCTAACGCCTGCTGTATATTTGGAGTTTGCGTGTCTCTCTCCCCGTGGTGGCGTGGATTTTTCTCCGCTGGTTTTCCACATTTAGAATCAACGTGCGTCTCGAGTATTTGGCTGCTATCAATGTCCACACGTGATAAGCCACTCGATTGGGCAAGCATGTGTGGCCAGGTCGCTTCTGAAAAAGAGCTATATAGCTAAGTGGGCCTTACCTGGTAAAATAAAACAATGTTTAGTTTACATCGTGAGTTCGTTATTCGCGTTACAGCTGCCAGCAGGAAGGACCTGCGATTGATTCCTGACATGGCAGACTTTTGTGTGGCTTTTACATTATGAGACCTCCTTTGCCAGAAACAAGAAATAGGAATAGGTTTTACCCTTTTAACTGGCACAAAAACTGACACCTTTATTCAAGGCATCATGTTTGCAAAAACCACAACACAAGCAGTCAGAATGCAAACAAAAAAGACAACTCTGATAATATGCACTGTCCTTGAATTTGATTGGTCCACACCCGAGACAGCTTTTCTTAGAGCCTAGTCTCCATTGGTGTTGGACCAGAAGACGCCAAAAGGCGTACAACTCAAAAACAGCGCACCATCAGAGTATTGAGGGCTCGGGGTGAGCATTTACATTATGAGACCTCCTTTGCCCGAAACAAGAAATAGGAATAGGTTTTACCCTTTTAACTGGCACAAAAACTGACACCTTTATTCAAGGCATCATGTTTGCAAAAACCACAACACAAGCAGTCAGAATGCAAACAAAAAAGACAACTCTGATAATATGCACGGTCCTTGAATTTGATTGGTCCACACCCGAGACAGCTTTTCTTAGAGCCTAGTCTCCATTGGTGTTGGACCAGAAGACGCCAAAAGGCGTACAACTCAAAAACAGCGCACCATCAGAGTATTGAGGGCTCGGGGTGAGCATTTACATTATGAGACCTCCTTTGGTCCAACACCAATGGAGACTAGGCTCTAAGAAAAGCTGTCTCGGGTGTGGACCAATCAAATTCAAGGACAGTGCATATTATCAGAGTTGTCTTTTTTGTTTGCATTCTGACTGCTTGTGTTGTGGTTTTTGCAAACATGATGCCTTGAATAAAGGTGTCAGTTTTTGTGCCAGTTAAAAGGGTAAAACCTATTCCTATTTTGTGTGGCTGTTCTTTATGGGTTCACTCACATACCTTAAAATAAATGTTGTGCTTTCCACCCAAATTCTATCCTGATTGTGCTATCAGTGTCATGACACGAGACAAAGTACACATTGGAGTCTCTTGCAGAGCAGTGCAATATTTAGTGTCAAGAGTATGGTCCACGGAAGTAGATATCGCAGAGCGATTACTGACAGCCCTTCAAGTAACCTCCAGCCCACCAAATACAGTAGAGAGCAGGACTTTCCCACCCAATCTGCCACGTGAGAGTTGTCGGTCATGGCCACTCTGCGTTTAACTCGACGTTTAGTCTCGCCAAGATCTCGAAGTGTAATTAATCGTACGCGTTGACGGGGCATACGGACGAAACACTTACGATTCTTCCCTGTAGCTGTGCGAGCATCACGGTTCTGTTTGGGTCCTTGAGCCAGTCGTGGTAGATGCTGGGCAGGTAGTCTTTCCCTTCGTAAATGCCTTCAGACATGCGCATCACCTCTTCGTAGTCCTCCGGCCGTGCCAGGTTGAATACAAGGTCCTGCTCCATCCCCTTGTGTGCGCTCGACTGCGCTCCGACCCTCGAACCGCAACGCCCTGTGTGAGGACTTTGAGCAATAAAAGAAAGTGCCAGCTGAGCTTCATAAACTGCTGGTCTCGCTGGTGAAACAAAACACAAATTGCACATCTTGAAATAAAGCAATCATTAGCTTGAGCAATGTTTAACTGGATGGGCTTTACGTGGTAAGATAACCAAAAAGTTATTTTTGTATATTTTTTGAAAGAAGTTATTTGTTTTTTACTTTTTCGATACTTTTCAGCCCTATCGTGTTGTTGTATTGTTTGGTGCTGCAACGTCCTGACCTGTCCCCTACTGGACAGCTGTGAAAAAGAGCTTCACAACTCATCGGATTCCTCCCGTATAGGCAAATATTCTGATTAATCTAGACACACTCGAAACGTTTGAGAGATGAATATGCCTTGAGCCTGTTTTAACATGGAACGTCGGGCCAACATTTGGCCCGACGGTTCCCAAGCGCGTTCCAGATTTGCGTCCAAGGTTGCCGCGTTTACTGGGCTACGGTCCACAGATGGAGGATATTCGTCAAGGGGTATATGTCGCACATTAGGAATGGACCACTCTTTTAATAAGTCCTTATGTGCTGTGCAGTACATCAATGCACGTGTGTACACCAGCATGTGATGACTGAGTTGGGCCTGTGGGTGGCTGGCAGGGTTATTGATTAACTGGACTTGTACACCAGTCAGGTGGTTCATGGCGACTCGGTTGAGGATTGCTGTGTGTCTGTGTGTGACACACGTGCTGTTGCATCTTACAGATTAACCACAATAAATGTGTTTGCCCTCGATTTGGAGCACCTGCCCAAGTCCTTCATTTCGAGTGTGCAACATATGTCGGGGAGGCTGACCCCGGCTCCTCGCTCACGTGGGATCCACTGCTCCCCTCTTCCGTGTCCTGGGGAGGGTTCCCGCTCACCGACTCCCCCCCCCCCCCTCGCTGCGGCCCCTCGGGGCATGATTCGTGGCTGGCGCTTAGCCACCTGGGATCAATCCACACAATCTCTGCGCACACTGACTCACACCTACTCACTCGAAATCCGACCGCTCCTCTCCCGTGTCACGCACCAATCGCGCGCGCGGGACTCGGGGTCGGGGGTTAGAGGGCAGGGACGTCACTCGCACACGCGCAGCCGATTGGGGAGTTTGTCTCGGAGATTTATTTGAAGGGCTGTATGAACAGTTTCAGTTTATTTATTTTGGTATAGCCCTGTGAGCCATTCGGCTCTTGAATCGGGTGCAACCACAAAAAACAAAAACACGAACAAGAAAAACATCTTCAAGTGACTATGTGACTGTGCAAACAGAAAATCCATGGAACAAAAACAGCAAAATATTCCTGAAAAAAAGCACCGTACACCAACGCTGTGTGCAAAAAATCCCAGTGGGATGCAAGTCAAACAACAACAACAAGAAAACTTAGATTAAGGCCATCAGTCTAACTCCGTACTACAACAAAACAAATATGTCCAAACCAAAATTTTTTTTCCAAATCACCAAAAAATAAAGCCATAATTGCAATGTAACAGTGATCACAGGGACTGTGACCGAATTTTTACAATTAACTACATAAATAATGTGACACCAAAACCCTAGAGCCATAGCTGGCTGCATGAGTTACTCCACAACAACAGAAGCATCAGTCGGAGTATCAAATTTTTCAATGCACCTTTAATATCAGCACGCTAAATCAAAATACAGATAATACTTTGCAGCGTCATCCGGAGCGCAACATTTTAGTTTATTTAACGCCAATGAATAGCAGTGGCAGCTAGGGGTGTACAACGCCTCTAGAGCAGTTTTGAGAGATCTCATTGGTAGTGATTCAAGTTGCAGTTTATTGGCAATAGCATTCCAAACTCTGGGGGCATCAATATCAAAGGCCCTTCCTCCAGTTTTTGTATGGGAATAGGGAATGTGAAGCTGGTAAATGAGCAAAGACCTGAGGTCAAATTTGTTCTTTGAAACAGAGAGGAGATCCAGCAGGTAGTCTGCGGATTTTTTTGTAAGTACATTGTGAATAAATAAGATCTGGTGCACAAGCCGTCGAACATTAAGAGATGTTAAGTTTGACCCAATGTAGAGATCACAGTGGTGAGTCCTATATGGGCAGTTCAATGTAAAGCTTAAGGCCGAGTGATAGATGGAATCAAACTTCTTCAGAACAGTACTTGGGGCTGATTTATACACGTCACAGTAGTCAAGTAGAGGCAGTATGGTAGCTTTTATCAATTCAAAACGGAACATTGGGGGGAAGCAGTGCTTGTGTCGATACAGAAAACCAATTTTTATTTTTGTCTTTTTACCAATATAATCAATGTGATCTTCAAAATTCAGTTTTGAATCCAGGATGACCCCAAGATACTTATAGATCTTGACTTGTTCTATTTGATAATTATTTAAGGAATGTAATTGTGGAAAAATAACTTCCTGCTGTAGTCCTGGTGAGAAGCATAGCAGCTTGGTTTTGGAGGTATTCAGGACTAGTTTAAGAGCAACTAGCTGATGTTGTAGTTTGTTGAAATCACCCTGTAGCTTAGCAATCAAGTCATCTGGAGAGCGGCCAGCAGTAATCAGTATCGTGTCATCTGCAAAAAGATTTACCCTGGAATGATCCAGGTCAGTGCCCAAGTCATTGACATAAAGAGAGAACAAAAGGGGGGCAAGGATGGAACCCTGTGGAACCCCTTTTGTTATCTTAACACTGTTTGACCTCCAACCATCTGTGAATACAGTTTGGATGCGAGAAAAGAGGTAATTTTGTAACCATTTTACTGCGTTTTTGGAAAAACCGAGGCAACTTAATTTACTAAGCAGGGTGTTGTGGTCTACTGTATGAAAAGCTTTGGACAGGTCTAGAAAAAGACGGGCACAGTACTGCGTATTATCAAGGCTACTGTAAATGTGATTCAGAGAGTCTAATGCAGCAGATGTGGTGCTGTATTTTTTTCGGAACCCAGATTGTTTTAGATGTAGTAGATTGTTGGTGGACAGGAAACTGCTAATTTGGTAGGTCAATAATTTTTCAAAAATTTTCATCAACGGGGACAAAATTGAGATAGGTCGGTAGTTATTTGGATCATCTTTAGGGCCCCCTTTGTGAAGTGGACGGACATAGGAATGTTTCCATTCTAGAGGAACTGATGCTTCTTTGATGGACAGGTTGAAAATATGCGCTATAGATTTGTATATTAGGTGACCAACAGTTAGTAGAGCAAAGACGAGAATACTATCTGCTCCGGTAGAGGAGGACCCTTTGAGGTGGGACAGTTGTTTCAGAACATTACTTTCGTGGATTGGCTGGAAACTAAATTCATTTAATGTTTGGACAGGGGTGTAGGAATTTGCATGAGCAGGGGTGACTCCCAAAACATTATCAAAAAGATTACCAGCTTCAGAAAAATGAAGGTTAAAATTGTCAACTATTTTTTTGGGATCTGAAAAATATTCCCCATTTCGGTTAAGCTCAATGGGCAGATTGTCTGTTTTGGATACCTTTTCAATACATTTGATTGTTTTCCAGAAAATCCTGACATTTCCATGTGATTCCAGGAGAGTGGAGGAAAAGTAGGCATTTTTTTGCATGCCGTATTTTTATTGACGCATCTATTCCTTAAAATCCTGCATTCTAGCCAGTCATTGACCAAATTACTTTTCTGAGCACATGCCCAAGCCTTGTCCCTAGTTTTCATGAGCTTTGTAATCAAAGGATCAAACCATGGTGGGCGGTTGTCTTTAGTTTTAAATCAACCAACGGAGCATGTTTGTTAAGAATTTGGAGAAACGTGTACCTGAAGGTCTCCCAAGCCGTAGTCAGGTTGGGGATATCACAGACCTTGTCAATATCCGAGTGAAGCACATCATTAATAAATGCCTGAGTGCTGAAGTGTCTCATAGAGTGCTTCTCAACCAATTTAGGGGGGGCTTTGGGTCTGGCTGATAATCTCACCCCAAAAATGAAGGAGTGATCACTAAGGTTATTACCCAGAACACCAGTCAGTGTGAAATTGAGTGGGGCATAAGTCAACAGGACATCAAGCAGAGATGACTGTCCCGGATTTTTTAGGTTGGGTCTTGTGGGGACATTTATTAATTGAAACAGATTAAATTAATCTGCAAAATTTGTGGCCACGGCCGGCGGGTTTAGCCAATTGCAATTTAGATCACCCACTACAACTATTTCACCTTTAGGGAGGCCCCCAAAAAGCTCTCTCAGTGCAGATGCAGCTTCAACATCCTTCCCACTAGGCGGTCAATAGCAGCACACTACCAATATCTGTTGATTATTTGGGAGAGTTATTTTGAGAGCCAGACCTTCAAAGCAACATTTTTTAAACAAGGAGTGAGCTAGTGAACATGCAATAGTATTACGAACATAGATGGCAATTCCACCTCCTTTAGATCCTCGGTCAAGCCGAAAAAGGTTGTAGTTGTCAATCGCAATCTGCAAGTCATTGACGGCAGGAGTGAGAAATGTTTCTGTTAGGCAAAAAATGTCCGGATCAAGATTTGCCACTTCTGGTTTTAGTTTACTTAATTTAATCACAAGCCCTCTGATGTTGACATGTAGAACACCAACACCTTTCCTGCCACAAAAATCTCTAGAATTATATGAGTTATTTTCATTTGGGCCAGGATGAAGCTCAATACCACCTAGAAATAAGAAAAGTAGAATTAATAGTTTGCACAAGTATTTTCTGTGAAAGAATCAAGAGCGGCGAACCTTGGACGAATAGCAGTAGCTCGCAGATGGTGTTGTTTTTAAGAGCAGAATGAAGTTTGGAAGGAGTGCTGGTGAAGTAATGGGACAAAGATAGGGTTTAAAAGCATACAATGATGGAGTGTAGAAGTGTCTATGAGCTGTTTCATTTGCAGGTGTAGTGGCAAATCGAGCAACAAGTATGGACGCAAAGTAACGAGGGTAGCTGCTTGTAGAGTTGAGTGTGGCGCTAGATATGGCCGGGAGGGACAGCAGTAGGATACACAGCAGGAGAATTGCCATCTCTAAAATATCCGGGGTAAACTCAGATTAACACACAAGCGGAAAAAAAATATATATATACTTGTAGGCCGAGCGCAATAAAACGTCTTGCCGCACTCGTCACACA